TTGTTAAATATTGTTGACTTCTAAACTCACAGTGACTGTAAAAAAAATAGATGAATAAATGTGATCAGATCTCAATGGCTTTTATTGACAGTCATTTGTGATGGAAAAAGTACATTATGAAATTTTTTGAAACGTTTGAATTTAAAAATAGTTATATATCTATTTAAATCCCATTGAAATGCTTTTGATTTATTCTAACATGTTTTATTTTCTCCATTGATCCCATCCTGATTTCCTTCAGCATAACTCTACCTCTTTTTACATTTCTGCATTTCTTGGCTGTGATTTGTTTTCTGTGAATTCCTGTTGTGTAATTGGTTCTGTATTCAGCACAACTCATTTTCCGCTCAATTACATAAGTCACTGCTTCATTGTTCCCCTTTTTGATCACTGTGACTCTTTATTGACTTACTGTGACTGAGTTCTTAGTTGTAACTTGCAAATCTCTCTTTCCCTTGTTTGAATTGACTTCCCTCTGCTCCCTCATTATTAAGCACGACGTGAGTCCAATTTTATTGCATTTTATTGTATTATATTTCTGATTTATTAATGCTTCACTGAAATTATTTCTGTACTTAATTTTTTTTATTATTATATTCACAGTGATTGTTTAACTTTTAATTAACATTGAATTGTCCCAAAATCCTTGTTTTTACATGGCTCACCTGTTCATCTTTATGAAGTGCGTCCTTATGGTGAGTTATAACATTTGGTGAGTTCTAATATTCTTAGTTATGAAACTTTGGTGAGTTCTAACATTCATAGTTATGATTAAAGATGATGTTCAGATCTCAGTTATTTTTTGTTTGACAATCATTATGGTATGGGGAGAAATACATTATAAAGTGTGTTTTTCCATGGCTCACCTGTTCACCATTATGAATGACATCAAGGAGATATTGCGGAGTCCTGATGGGTATTTTACATGAGTAAAAATACATTTAGACAATGATAGACAGTAACAGTAATTATTATTATATAATAAAATACATTTTAAAAATATTTCTTATTTATTATTTTTATATTAATAATAAACCATTAATACAAGAGATAATACAAAATAATAATATTGTCCTGCCGAGCGGGGACGGAATGGAGACAAAGGCGCAGACATCAGGGTATTGGGGAATACGGGGTTTAATTACAGGTAAGGCAGGCAAAACACAGACGGACAATACAATGACTTACACTTTGTTAATCTTGTTGTCAGATCCAGTAAAAATTAGTTAGTGGGTAGTGAATGTACAGTCCCACTGTTAATTAAAAATGTCCGTGGCACTTCCCTGTCAGTCAAAAACTTATTAGCCAATGGGGACGCGTCCATGAAAAAACCCGCCCACGTGAGAAGTTTGTGTCAGAATTATAAACAAAAAGTCAGGGAGTGCAAGCGAGAAAGCTGGCAGCATAAACGAAGGAAAACATTATCAAAAGACCAATCATGTGTTTGCAAGTTATAAATTTTACTTTTGAGATGACCTTTCTTTTGCTTCAGTTATTTTTCTTCTCGAAGCCTTGTATTTGCTTGATGTCAAAAAAGTTTCGCTTCATAATATTGGCACAAATCTGATTCCATAGTATTCTTCCTCACCAGTATGGTCACACCCACTACATTTTCACCTGAAAAAGAAGGCGCATCCATGCAAGAAGTCTAATTAATTCATTAAGCAAAAAATGGGTGTTAAACCCTTTAAGATATTGGCATCAAGATAATGTGGAACATGGACTGTTTATTGTATACCCTGAACCTAATTGAAATCCTCAGAAGCTGCTTTATTTTAAAAATGAAAGCATGGCAGTAGCCTACTATGCTTATATTTGGTAATTCTGAGTATGTGAATCCTAAGACAAGCACTAAGTGTTACCGTGAAATACAGTGTTTGAACTTTATACATCGCAATTGACAATACTTAATAGGTATATTCAAATGGTGTCATTTATAGCCCTGATTTAATTATTCTCAGCCATTTTCCACAAATAGACATGAAATTATATCTGTGAATAATGTATAAATCTGAGGGGGTCAGGGTGGGCAGAGATTGTGAGTAAACACTTTTAAAAAGATATTACTTGTTTTACATTTCTTCAATAGATGAAGCTGAAGACTCACAATTTCACAGTGTCATATTACCAATACATCGTAAGTACAAATACTCGCACACAAGCACAAGGTCTTAATATTCAGTCCTATTTGATAATGCCTAAAAGTGCCATATTAACTTCCATATTAAAATTCACATTGCCTTTCCAAAATGAAGGGTGTGGGGGGCAATGACAAAAAAAAATAGTCTCACTCCGAAGTTCTAACACTTTAGTAATCAAACCACATAAAATTTCAGAATGTCTCGCTCACCTATGTGTAGCCAACCCCTACAGTATGTCAATAAGTTTTTCAAAAATCTTGGCTAGAAATGTTTATAATGTGATTTTTTACAATTTCTCAGCATGTCTGAAATAGGTTTTTGAAAAGTATATGTTTAAAGTTAATTTTAACAAATAATAGAATAATAACATTCTAAGTGGTCTCAGATTTTTTTTTACAATTTTACAACTGTTTTTTCAAAAGTGTATGTTTAAGTTGATTTTAAAAAAAAATAGAATAATGACATTCTAAGTGGTCTCAGGTTACTGGTGCTGAGTCTGTGCTGAATAAAAGCATTTGTAGCACTTTGGGATAAATATTCTTTAGATAGGCAAAATATTTTAAAATGTCAAGACATATCAGACTACCTCAAAAGTGGCTGAGAGACCTCAGACCCCAGTGGGTTAATTGTAATGCTTTCTTCACCGATGATACCCTGCTTTCTATTTTTTTTTTGGTCAAATTCTCCTCCTAATTATTAATTTCAGATTCTCTATGCTAAAAGGTCTTAAACATGTTACACTTTTAAAAAATACTTTTGTGTTGAATTCCAAAATTAGAGCCAATTTTCACTTTTAGACATTTCAAGTACTCATGATGCGTTCAGTATGCACACGTTTATTTTTCCTTTGTGTAGCTTCCATCCTTTTATTTATATATTTATTCCTGTTCTTTAATATTTTTAGCTACCAATGGAGGACCTCAACCAGGTGAGTAGCATCCTATACAGTACAAAGACTCATAAGCAACCAAACTAGAATGAATCAAAATGAAGCATCAACAAGTTACAGGTTAACCATAAACCCTTTCCTCAGTATGTGCACGTTTCCCACATCATATCTTATAACTCATAAACTCAGAGGCACCATCTAAAGTGATATTACCCTTCTGATTAAAAACATTTTTTCAACTGTTTCGAACATAAATTAAATACAGGTGTAAAGAGTGCTATAATTATAGCAGTTACATTACTTACATTTTAATCAGTTTAAATGGCAAGCAATCATTGTGAATTATACACATGTATTCAAAGTGAAGGATGTGGTTGATCTACGGATCCTGCAGCCCACGGCGGGTCACAGCAATCAGCTCTGCTTTGATGTGCAAGTTTCTCAGAAGCAAAATTACAAGCTGCTAGACGATCAGACCACAGGTGAGTCAACTCCATATGACTGTAGCACAAGCAAGAATGTATAAATAATAATGAGGATAAATAGACTGGTGTTCTGGACACGTGTTTTTGGAGTTTGGAACGATAGAATTTGCTAAATTCTTGTGATATTAGAAAGTCGAAAAGCCAAATGGTTAGAGGTGTTATTTAGGATCTACCAAGGACATGAAGAAACCAAGAGATTACGCTTTTGTGAGCGCTCACTACCTTTCTAAGCTCATGTTAATATTTCACAACCCCCTTGAATCTTGAAACCCTGCTTTATATCCCCTAATAATCGCACTAACTGCAGGCGAGCTGAGACATTCACTTGTCAGGTGATGTGTGGTTCAATGAGTTGGGACACTGTGTCCAAGATAAGGACGTTCATGGGTTCAAATCAGATGGTCAGCAGGGTGATCTCATCCTTAATCTCAGTTGCTTGAGGGAGTGGCTAACCTTTCTTACTCAACTGAGCAACACTTGGATAAAAGCATCGATGCTAAAATAAACGTAAGCATGCCCTCACCACATCCCTCCATAAAAATCCTCTACACAAGAGCCATATGGCTACAGTTTAATTTAATTAGATAGATACTGATTATAAAAATAATTTATATTTTTATATAATATAATTATAATTTAATTTTTGAAAATATGGTCACATATGCTACCTTGTATCCCTCCAGCACAGACAGTTTTATTTACAAATTTAAAGAAAAAACAAAGTGTTGAGTGAAAATTATGCTAAACATTGATCACTGTAATGGCTGGTTTCACGTCCAATGTCCATTGACATATCAAAAGAAATATTTCTATTGCCAATGTTTACAGCCATGCTTATACAGTATAAGGCATTTTTACTTTTGGTTACTAGCAGGCAGAGTGCAAATTACCCCTCCATAATTGGGTGTTACTGCCTTCATAATACTTCTGTGACCATTATGGTCTGCTACTGCGTTAATACGAATAGTTGCCTCCAGGATCAATGTTAAGAGTGCAAGATGCACTAGGGGTGTTTACTAACGTATGGAACACACGGTCATGGTCTGGACATGCAACAAAATGAGAATAAATACAGAAGATCTCATTATCCTTATCCCTATCCAAAAGAATTTGGGTTTGATAACTGCCAGGAATTATCCTAGAAGTAGTATACTAATAAAAGTAATAAGCCTATACATTTACAAACAGCCTGGTCTGGTCCAGCAGTCTGGTGTTATTCCTGCCCTCTCAGTCCCCCCAGTTCCAACAGCTTTCAGAAATAAATATTTGCCTATTAGGCTAACATCTGCCTTCATGATACAGTAGATCTTAAAGTACAGCCTAATTTCTAACTCACCTCTTGGTCCTGCGCGCTGTCCTCATCCTGCCATCTTCCTGCTGCCTGCGCGCTGTCCTCATCCTGCCATCTTCCTGCTGCCTGCTCACTGTCCTGCACACTGTCCTCATCCTGCCATCTTCCTGCTCCTGTGCCTCTCTTGCTTTCTACTGACCACCACTTTCCTTCATACACATTAAGTTTGCAAAGCTGTACCTATACTTTTAGTGTAATGTTCTGTAGCTCTTAACACTAATATTTCCTACTTACTCTTCTTTTACCACCAAAAAAGTGTCTGATGTCTCTGATCTTTGTCTGTGAATAAAATTTAATCTATATTTAACAAAACAATATCTGGGCTATCAGATGAAGCTTCTAAAAATGTCTATAAATATGAAATTTTGGAATGCAGAATCAAAACCACTAAAATTCAAATAATAGGGCTTATTATTTGCTAGCTAGTTTTTTTTTATGTTGCCCCTATAGGTTTCACTTATAGTAATGTTTTTTCAGAGCATAACGTTAGACCTTTTTGTGTGCTAACATTAGCCTAATAACAAACTACACAGGCTAAGCGGCGAATAAATTTCAGAAAGGCACAATTTATTCGTGATAAAATGAGAATGAAAACATAGTAAGTTCATCTCTTTGGAAAATGACCATGATAGATTTTACCTCACCAAATAAGCCTGGTTTAAATAGAGAACTTAGCTTATCTTGCTAGTTCACGTAACTAACATTGACTGTACCAGTGTTCTGTCGAGTTGAGCTACTTTGTCGAGGTAAGCTTATGGTTAGGGCTATCAATTAGCACTACAGTAGCTTACCTTGACAAAGTAGCTCAACTATTGAGCCTTTCTGCGCATGTGCATTTCCACTCTCTTTGGATTAGTGGTTTTAGGGGTTATGGTTAGGTTTTAGGGGTTAGGGTTAGGGTTAAGGTAAGGGTTTTAGGGGTTTTTGGGGGGTTAGGGTAAGAGTTAGGGTTAGGGCTATCGATTAACACTAAGGTAGGATGTTTTGATAAAGTAGGACGTTTTGTCAGAACACCGGCCTGAGAAGGACAATGGTAAGTAATTCAACTTATAAAGATGTCAGCTTGCATTAGTAGATGAAACACTTAAACGAATAAATGAAGGTTGTAAAATAACACATTTTCAACAGGCTAGACTTCTGCTGGCTACTTACATTTACCAACACACGACAAACAGTACCATGACAGACAAACACAATGAACAGATCACTCAATGAGAATGAATGACACAACTGACTGGCTGCTTCTAGCGCCAAGGTGGTTAAAATGGTACGGTCCACATTAGGGGTGTCTGATATCGTTTTACATAACCTCACCTTGTAAGAAAATTTTATCTTTTTTTTTTTTTTACAACAAAAGAAATGTTAAGGCCCCCCCCAAACTGCTATTTTTGTCTCTTTGGGGGGGTCTGGGTCTTGATCGGGGGGTACAGTACCCCCCGTAATTCGAACCATGCTAGCAGGAGTGATGTTGATAGTAAGTAAGTATTATTACTATCATTACATCAGTTACAAATATGAATTTTTTCCAGTCTCTGTCTCAACTCCCCCTTGACCCCCTCAAAGCCTTGTTCTTGAGTGGTCTTAAATCAGACTTAGTATTTGTGGTCTTGTCCCCATAATTACTCAGTTGTAACTGTTGGTCTTCTTCTGTGGTTTGTTCACTCACATATACAATGGCGTAGACCTCTTGGTTGTGGGCCAGGTGAACAGTGAAGCCAAGAAGGGCTTTCAGCAGATCAGCATTCGCTCCAAAGCCTGGGGCAGCGTCACTGTGGATACTACAAAAATTGTCCTCATCCAGGGACAGAAGAATGAAGATTTTTCTTGGACACCGTTCTCCTTCAGCAATGCATTGAACGGGTACTGCATCTCTCTTGGCATGAATGACATTTCAATACATATAACCTTAGAATAAAAACAGTTTCATATTAAGCACCATGTTTTTAAATATTGCAAATGTTTTATTCTGAGGATGAATATTTGAAGAACAGAACAAATCTATAATGATGGAGCAATTTTTGTAAATATGACAACATAAAAGGTATAGCTGAATGCTATAGAGAATAGTAAATAAAACTTTGAGAGACATATTACAGTTAGATCCATAAGTATTTGGACACTGATGCCATTTTTTGTCATTTTCTCTCTGTTTACCACTACAATGGATTTAAAATTAAGCAATCAAGATGTAATGGAAGTAATGATTTTCATTTTAAAATTAGGGGGTTTAACAAAGGTATAAAATTAAGCTTTCAGAAATTACAGCCCTTTTTCACAGAATCCTTCCATTTCCAGAGGCTCAAAAGTTACAGGACATAGTAATATAATATAAAATATATGCATTGTTTTAATACTTGGATGAAAACCCTTTGCAGTCAATGGCTCCCTGAAGTCAGGAACCCATGCACATCACCAAATGCTGGGTTTCCTCCCTAGTGATGCCTTGACAGGCCTTCACTGCTGTCCCCTTCAGTTGCTGCTTGTTTATTGGTCTTTCTGCCTTCAGTTTTGTTTTTAGTAACTGAAATGCATGATCTATTGGGTTGAGATCAGGTGATTAACTTGGTCATTGAAGAATATGCAATTTCTTTACCTTGAGAAACTTTTGGGATGCTTTTGCAGTATGTTTTGGGTCTTTATCCATTTGTACTGTGAAGTACCTTCCTATCAGTTTTTCAGAATTTGGCTGAATCTTGGCAGAATGTACAGCCCTATACACTTCAGGATTCATCATAGTACTTCTGTCAGCAGTCACATCATCAATAAACACCAGTTACCCTATTAAATGGGCATCTATACATGCCCATGCCATAACACTGCCTCCACCATGTCTAACACACGATATGGTATGCTTCCGATCATGAACTGTCCCTTTCTTTCACTATAATTTTCTCTTCCTATCAGTCTGGTACAAGTTGATCTTGGTTTCATCTTTACAAAGAACCTTATTCCAGAATTTAACAGGCTATTTATGGTGTTTTCTGGCAACGTCTAATCTGGCCTTCCTGTTGTTCTGTGTGAGCAGTGGTATTGTGCTGCTACAGCGGTTTGTCAAAGTACAGTATAGTACCATATGTAGTTACTTTTATTATGACTGAGGAACGTATCTCATTTGTTCATCCATTTTGTTTGTTTCCTAAATTATAGACATAATGTAAAAAGGATTGCCTGTACATATCCAACATATAAATCCCTAAATTACAGCAGAATAACAGTTGCGTCTCACTGTTATATCTGGGATCAAGAAAAATTTAGAGATTTTAAATGTTTTTAATTAGCTCAGTAATTTCTGTTTGTGCAACAGCGACACCAACAGTAGGTACATGGTAGTTGTCTTTCACCCTGTGCTTGTTTGTGTGTGTTACACGTGGCTGGGTGGGAGTGACACTGCCTCCTGCTGGTTAGGCTGTCACTGAACATGCAAGACGGGGTGCTAACGGTGGAGGTTGGGGAGACCAGAATGGACATCCTGCTCCACAGTGATGGGCAAAATAGCTTCCTATGGCCAGCTGTAAAAAAACGCCCCCCAGGTAGCACAGCAATGGGGATACTAGGTAAGAACGTGTGTATGTGTGTGTGGTATAATGCATATTGATAAGGTCAGGTAAGGCATTCTTTATACTTACAGTAGATATAGCCTTTAAAGTTATCTCTGTGGGTGTAAATAGTTACAATTTTACACTTTTTGTATCCATACAAGCTTAAATGTTTTTAGTCTCATTCACGTAACATTGTTATAGTCGATGTTATTAAAAGTGAGGCCCAGCTGCACAGGGACCTGGCCCCCCTGGTCATATGCCTGGCTCACTTGGTCACATGTTTGGCCCACCTCAGGAAACGTGGAATGTTAAACTTATCAAATGCAGTCGGCAGATTTATCTGCCTATACCCTGAACTTCAATCAGTAAAATTTAATATGACTGATGGCAACAGCAAGTATGTAAGTGTGATTTTTGGCGAGGGCTTCATGTGTATGTACTTATTCTACAGGACAGTTCCTTGTTTCGTATGAAGAGAAGCAGGTGATACCAACAGGTATACTGGAAATCCAAGACAAAGAGGTTCCTGCATCCAGGTAAACTGGATTGTTTTTGTCTCCACTGTATAATTTGTTTTAACGATATGGAACTATTAAGCATACTCTTACTGTGTCAAGAAAAAATAGTTATTTAATGACTTTTAAGCGTTTCTGGATTTGCTGGCAGGATTAGTCAGTGATTGATGTTTATGTGTTGTAGGGAGACGGCAGTGAACTATAATGACCCCAACAAACCGAGAGTGGACTGCTGGCTGGTGCCTTACCAGTCTGTTTTGGGGGTGAACCTCTCTGAGCTAACTGTGGTTCAGACATAGGTTCAGCATCCTGAGACTCCTTTCAGACAGTTCAAATTACATTAAGCTGTTTTCTTGGACAATACTTCTGTGTCATTATGATCAAGTCATTAAATAACATATAAACATTTTCTCAGTTACTGCCTTTTTTATCAGTTTTATTTATCATTCTGTTCTTTTACCTAACTGCTAAAACTCAAGTTTTATTTGTACACTGAGACAAATTATTTTTAGAATTCACTTATTACAATTAATGTACTGTACCATTGAAAAGTTTGGGGTCACTTGGATATTGCCCATGGAATGGGGGGACAAGCATGTTCTTTGTTTCTGGCCATTTTGCATCTTTAATCGAACCCTCAATTGCTGACACTCCAACTAATCGAAAGGCCAGTTTTATTGCTTCTTTAACTAGCGTAACAGGTTTCAGCTGTGCTAACAATTTTAAAAGGGATTTCTAATGATCAAATTTTCCTTTTAGAATGATAAACTTGGATTAGTAAACACAACGTGCCATCGGAGCACAAGACTGTTAATGCCTCTGTGTGTCAATGTTGATATTACATAAAAATTGTAATGACGGCATGGCATGGCGCAGGCAGGTGGCAGGCCACTGGTGGCTCACAAGAACTGAACACTGGGGAAGGCACAAAATAATGAACCACAAGGGGTCAAAAATAAATGGGGAAAACAAGAACTAACTACAAGAAACTGTAGGATAACACAAATGGGGAGCAGAGCGACATAGGGAGCAGAAGTGGCCAAGGGAACAGAGTACCAAAAACACAATAACTGACCATACACATTCTGACACAAACTAACACAATGGCCAACTAAGGAAATGAACAAAGGCAAGCACTTAAATTCAATGATAATAAGGACTAATAAAAGGCGGGTGAGAATTAAACAACCAATCAACAAGGGCACAGAGCAACCAGAGCAGGTGAAGAAACTAACAGTATTGAACACAGAACTAAGGATATTACAAGACCTGAAGCTAGGGAAACACAAGGACATACTACACTAGGAAAAAAATCAAGAAACAAACAGAACATAAGCAAGGCAGAGGCAGAGAACCATAAACCAGACAAATTACACACAGGGATACATAATATTAAACTAAGGATAAACCAATAAACAAAAAGAATGGGTGAGGCTGGCCTTAAACCCACAACTACCAGGTTACAGGCTCTGTACCACACACTCAGCCCATTGAGTTATGTGGCAGTCCAGGGGACTGGGGAAACACAAAAGGATTATCAGACATATAATGGCAAGACAGGATGGCCAGCAACATCTGCTGGTCAAACAGGGAAGAGACACGAAGGGCAGGATCAGACGGGTGCTGACCCTGACAAAAAATCAGCTGTTTCCAGCTACAATAGTCATTTACAACATAAACAATGTACATTTTATTTCTGATTAACCTGATGTTATTTTAATGGACAAAAATTGCTTTTCTTTTGGAAAAAAGGAAATTTCTAAGTGACCCCAAACTTTTGAACAGTAGTGTATATTTTGCATAGTGTCATGAATTACGGGGCACAGACCAGGGAAGCAGGAGAAGGAGACGACCTATCGGGGAATGAGGGATTTAATAGGCAATCAGAGAGGCATACAGGGCAAAACAAATAACGACTTCACTGGGGAAAGACTAATAGGGAAGCACTAAATACAGAAACTTAATCAGACAGGACTAGGAACAGCTGGTAACATGGGGATTCCACATGTGATTAACAAGGGGGGCGTGGGACACAGGAGGATCAAACAAGCAGGGTGTGACAGAACCGCCCCCCGCCCCCCCCCCACCACAAAGGCGTGCAAATTGGGCGTGCCCAAGGGGAACGAAGGACCAGACCGGAGGGACAAAACCGGGGACTCCACAGGTCCTGGGAAGACAAAAACAAGAACATCAACGGAGCACAGGAAATAAGACAGGCACACAGAACATGCACAAGGAAGACAACTAAGACAACAAATGACAAACCACGGGGAACTTGGACAGACACAGGGGCACTAAGAAGGGAAACACAGGACACAGGAACACTAAAGAGGACAACACCAGGGGATAAACCAACAGGAGGCACAAAGGGACCGGAAGGGAACAAAAGCACAGAGGGATGGGGAGCAAACACAGGGGGGCACAAAACCAGGTGGCAAGGAAGCAGAGGGCTTGGGGCACCAGGGAGCCGGAGGGAACCCCAGCAGGTGAAAGGCGGAAGCCGCAGAGGCGATGGGTGACCGTGAGGCCAGAGCCATAGGGGATGCCGAAGGGGGGCAAGGAGGAAGATGGAGGGATAGATGGAGGGAGCGAGGAGGAATGTGTAGGGGACACCGAAGGAGGCGAGGAGGAAGGCAAAAAGGGGACAACAGAGGAGACAAAGAGGGAGCCGAAGCTGTGGCAAGCGAAGGTGTAGCCACAGCCGGCAAGGGTGTTGGCGACCAACAAGTCGGAGCAGGGGGCACTGCAGGCGACCGACGAGATGCTGGAGGTGGGACCGAAGGCGGCCAACAAGATGCCGCAGGGGGAACCGCAGGTGACTGTCGAGCTGGAGCCAGGGGGACCGCAGGCGACCACCAAGCAGGAGCCATGAGGACCATAGGCAACTGCCGAGCAGGAGCCAGAGGACCCACAGGCGACTGCCGAGCCAAAGCCAGTGGGGTCGAAGGCAAGCCGGGGGTGCAGGGCGGGTGGTCATTTAGCCAATCCAATCCAGTATCCAATAATCCAATGGCAAAACACATGTCAAAACCAATCAATAAAAGCAGTTATTGGTTCCTTAACCCTCTGGAGTCGGCGATCCTGCCGGCGGGATCGGACAGAAATTTTGCCAAAATGTTTAAATAACTCTGCGAGTTTTTGTCATATACATATTTAAGAAACACCATCAGATACCTTGGACGGTCTCCTTTTCAAATATGATTACTCTGATTACTGCTTTTCTTTGCTAAACACCTCTGGGAACTCCTTCAAGACTGTTGGAAAACCATTTCAGGTGACTACTTCTTGAAACTCATCGAGAGAATGCCAAGAGTGTGCAAAGCAGTAATCAGAGCAAAGGGTGGCTATTTTGAAGAAACTAGAATATAAAACATGTTTTCAGTTATTTCACCTTTTTTTGTTAAGTACATAACTCCACATGTGTTCATTCATAGTTTTGATGCCTTCAGTGAGAATCTACCAATGTAAATGGTCATGAAAATAAAGACAACACATTGAATGAGAAGGTGTGTCCAAACTTTTGGCCTGTACTGTATATAGGTAGAAACTAAATATATTTTTACAGTTTCGTGATAGGAATAGAAAGAATAAGAGTGACTGACTCGAAACAGCTCTGATCACTTGCCCACTTGCAAATCGCGCTATTCGCATGATAATAACATGATAATCTGACAGTTGGTATTGGGTAAAGAAATATGTGAATATGCCCATTGTGACTGAAATAAACAAGAGCACATGTCTGGGTAGTGTTTACACTGAGCGGCTATAATATGGCACCCGGATGCATCTCTGCCGCTGAAGCTTTGCGCCAGTGTTGCCACTTTCAGCAGCGAACCTCATACCTGTGTTCATGGCTCAGTGGGCCATAAACTGTAATCACAAGGTCTCCAGTTCAAACCCAGCCTATTTAGAACGTGAATAGCGACCTTCAGCTGAGAGTGGTACTACATGCCCCCAATGCAGGTAAAACAAAGAAAGGTGACATGGTTTGCTTTTTTCCCTATTTAACCTAATTTTAAAAACTGTAATACTTCCGACAATGGAAGTTTTGAAAAGAAGACAGATTACGGATTTTGTTTTTTTTTGGTTTTTTTTTGCATGATTCTACATAATGATTTCAGCGAGATATAAACTGAAATACACGAGAAAGATATGCGGTCGATGATGCCCTCATCCCCAGAGCGTTAATAGTGAATTATTTTATTTCCGTTAACTCTGCATAGGCACTACATCATATTTATCGCTTTCTATATTTATATGGTCACAGTTTTTCATTTTCCATTCCATCTACCAATAAACTGTGAAAGGGATTTTATTGTTGCTACTTTTCTTGCGTTTCAAACTGCCTTTCCAAAGTGATGGGTGTGGGGTGCAGTGACATTCCAGACTGATGGGCCATTGACAGTATGCAAACTACTACAGGTGTGGGGACACCTATCTCATCAATATTCATTGTATAGGCCACTGACTTTGAGAAAAAGAGTGTCACTCTAAAGTTCTAACACTTTAGTAATCAAACCACATAAAATTTCAGAATGTCATATTCACCTATGTGTAGCCAACTCCTGTGTCTATAAACTTCAGAGCTGAAAAGTCTTGGCTAGAAATGTTTATAATGTGATTTTTTTTTACAATTTCTCAGCATGTCTGAAATAGGTTTTTGAAAAGTATATGTTTAAAGTTGATTTTAACAAATAATAGAATAATAACATTCTAAGTGCTCTCAGATTATTGGTGCTGAGTTTGTGCTGAATAAAAGCACATGTAACACTTTGGGATAAATGTTTTTTAAATAGGTGAAATATTTTAAAATGTAAAGGCATGTCAGACTACCCCGAAAGTGGCTGAGAGGCCTCAGACTCCCAAGGGTTAAACTTTATTCATTCCTGAGGGGAAAATACTAACCACAGGAGTGACCAAGAGAAGAGCAAAGTAGGCTTGGAAAGCCATCTAAACTTTACTGGAAAAGTAAGGATGTCTTCAGACTTTGCACCACAAAGACTATTGCCTCAAGACTGAAGGAACCCAAATGATAGTAGAACATAGGCTGAAACTCAAACTGTGGTCTATAAGAAATGAACAGAGGGGTAAATAAATCAAATACCAACGCACAGAGCCTTTGCCGCCCTCTGCTGATCAGTCATGGAAGCAGCCTTTTCCAACCACTTATCAAGTGCCTATTCTAAAGCTTATCCTAGGCAATGGGAATACTGTGGATGGGATATTACTCCATTGCTACACACACACACACACACACACACAAATATATATAAGGTGGAATTTCAAACCATCGAACTATTTGTGTTTTAAACTGTGGGAAGCAAATGCAGTACCTACTATTCAATTACAGGTTGTTACACCAAACTGAGCAGATGCATGTTGAAGTGTAGGTGTATTATTGATCAAGTGGAATGGGTATTAGTCACATTTCTATGGTTTCCTCATTTTGAGAGTCAGAATGTTCTGAGACAGAAGCATGTATGAAAGACTTGGCTAATTACATTTGACATAAGGACATAGCTATTTACACTTGACATAGGGACATGGCTTTGACATGAGGGGCAAACACCAGGCAAAAATTAACTAAACACAAATATACACTGGATTTGTCCATTAATACAGTTACCTCTTTTACTTAACATTAAATAACTTATAAAGGGCAATTAGTCAAGGAAAATATATCCCACTGACATACATCATATTTTCACCGGTGTCCATGTCTTGTTCAAGTTTTTCCAGGAGGTGAGCCTCACTGCCAAGACTCCCCCCCACCACTGCATTCTGTTTCAAATTAGGTGGTAGTGGGCTTAGCCTCTGTGTCGGTGATCAGAAGGTTGCTGGCTCAAACTGGGCCTTGATCCATGTGTGGGTCCTTGAGAAAGGCATTTAACCTCTAGCTCCCTGGGTGCTACAGAAGGTGGTTGCCCCTCACTGCCAGCTTGATCTCACCTATAGAGAGCAAGATGGGGGAGGCAAAAGGGATCAATAAAGCTTTTATAAAAGATATATTTGCAAACAATAATAGTGAAGAAACAAAGATTGTTTAACTTTGTGTAATAACACAATAATACATAACATTGTATATAAGAAAGCAAATACTTTTTAAATAGAATTTAATTTCTATACCTTTACAGGTGCAAACTATAAAACATTTTTACAGGTGTTGTAACATTTGAATGTGATTAATCACGATTTAAATAAATAATCATTTGATGTCCTTATTAAGAGTTTTAACTCATTTGGAAATGTTGGTCTTCTTGCTGTTCAAGGGAATCTCCATATTTCCCACACAGGAAATAACTGCTAATACTGTATGTTTACCAGCATGACTGGTAATTATATATCTGGGGAGTGAAGTATTGTCAAAGGTCCTAAGAAGTCAATCTAAAATCTATCAGTCAATGCACGTTTCTTCCTCAGCACAAGTTTAAACTATCACTTTATCTATCTCCCCCCCCCCCNCTGAATGATATAAAAATATATCATGTGTATATGTATGCTGGTCCTGTATATATAAATCTACATCTTGAAACTTTGAAAAGCCACTATACTGTAATATAAAGTAAATAACCAATTTTAATCATATGTTCAAAATGTCATATTGTGACAATCTACTGAATATATTTGTACAATAAAAATCCAAAATGTACATTTCTTCTATAATTTAGGAAATAAACAAAATAGACAAACAAAGCAAATATATAGCATTACGAATGAAACTAAGGCTGTTTTTCACTGACAAAGCACTTGTTCCTCATCTTGCGGGTGTGTTGTGGCTTCTGTCATTTATGGGCACACGCAGCATAGCATTTTTTTTATTCTGACAAGAGCAGTCAAAATCACAAGTGTGGAGCTGGTGAAAGTTAACAATATCCGAGTCAAATTGAATCTTTTTTAAAAAGTTATAAAAACTGAGACTCGATTCTGACTCACGTATACATTATATGATGTGGTCACCCACCTCTGCTGAACACCAGTGAAATTTATGTACTTTTTGACAGAATATTCACTGTAATGCACGATGTCAGTAGGCTACTAACAGAATGCTATAGGAAAATTGGTATTTGCTGGTGCATCAAAATAATAAACAAACAAACAAACAGATAGATAATGGATGAGAATATGCATTTTACCTTTTAGACAAACCTTTAGAATCGCATGCCTCGCAGGTGCAGGAAACCACAATATCAGCGTTTGTAAGCACATAATGTGAGCTGCAGTGTAAAAAAGTGTGATTTTCATACGTAGTAAACAGCTAAAAATTAGATTGCTAAAACTAAGCTCGTTTACAGTAAATGATTCAGATAGGCCTACGTGCGACCTTTTTTGATCTGTTATTTGCTTTCATGTGGAGTCAGCCGACTTTCCGAAAGGAGGAGTTTAAAAAGTGTTGTTTTTTGAGCGACCTAGTTTGTCCCACAGACTGCTGGTCTTCTGAGAAATGAACTAACGCTCTTTAAAGATAGCACTCGTGTTATGAAGCTCAACTGTGCTGGTTATTATGACAAATCGATTTTCATACATATATTTAATGGAATACCTTTGTAATCGCACATAGTAACATTGGAGCATGGAGAATTATTTACTCCTGAACAATAAGAAGGGGGAAGTCATCGACATCCATTTTGAGAAGAATGATATGCTGAGCTCAAAATGCTCCTGATCCGTCATTTGGAAGTGTATTTCTTAAAACTAAATGTTGGTTTAATCCCTCCTTGTGGTGACGCCATCCCGAGGCATACATGAGCAGCGTTTTTGGACCCGCGTGCGCAATGCTCTTACTACTTTGTGCATTGGCTTCAAATGCAGCAATGGGGCAGTACGACAAGGTAAGATCCGTCAGAAAGAAAAGCCCAAAGGAAATGTGTGTTGCGGTTCCGAGCTTATCTCATGGACCATTACATCCACACAGGAACCCTTAGCAGAAAGGCCCTGGTAACCTTTTTCTTGTTCAAAAAGAGTAAGCAAAGAATAATCATTGATTAATCGAAAATTATTTTACCACTTAGGTGATGATAATTTGCTTTGCCAAAAAAGTAAAACACCAGGCACGGGACGCAAAGAGGCGTCAAAAAATAGCGTAAATATGCACACAGAAAAGTATGCTGACTGTAGACATCAAATGTCAGCATGAAACAAGCGGAATCCTGGACGTTTCAGGCATTTTTGTGTCCCTATATTCAGTTTATATAATTCTGTTTTATGAACAAACCTCTTATTCTTATTTTATATTTGTTGTTGCTTTTTTATATAATCATCTTATTATTTATTCTAATTTAACTACTTTGTTCTTTTATGCCATTTTCTTACACTCATTTACTCCCTAATTGTTTACCTTGTTTAGTTGCTTGTCTTTTTTACATATTATTATTCTTAGTTTAAAGCATTTTCATAGCATTTTATGTATGTAAGGTACTATATAAATAACGATTATTATTAGTAGTAGTATTGTTATTATTATAACTGGGACCCAAAAAAGAGGACAAGTCTGGGAAATAGAGAACACGTGGTCGCCCTTATTAACCATAATTATTTTAAGGGACTAAACAAAAGATGTTTAGAAACCGTACTGCTACAGTTTGGTTTAACACAGATGAGTTTAAAATAAACTGACATTCATTAGATAACTCAGATAATGTTATTTATTTGAAAAAAGGCCTATTTAAAAAGCAAAGGGTAGACATCAGCTCCTTCAATCTTAATTTGTTTATCCAATCAAAGAGCAGTTTTAGCAAGTAATACATTTCTTATTTAGGGTACACAATGTTTACTGAAGCCATTCAGAAAATGGTTATAGTTTAACTGAGGAGACACCTCCTTACATTTTCTGCTTAAAAGTACATGGTCTTTTTTTCTTTTCTATGCAGATGTCATCGAGGTCAGGTAAGCTGTGTAACCAGGTCACTCTCCCATTTCCTCCAAAGAGACAGATTTGTCAATCTGCAGGTGCACAGTCCCGGTGATGTTTTCCAGTCAACTCCATATAGATATATTTTAAATGATGTCATATGCAACTTAACAGTGGTGTTTTCAACGAATTATCATGGAATTCCTCCTGATTATCATGGAATTCATGCACAAGGGACTTTCTGAGAATGACACTGAGGACAGGTGCCCTCTGTTTTAAAGGTGGAACCAGACCCAACTTCACTGTGTCCATAGACCCACCCACTCTCTCTTTGGCAGTCTACGTGAACGTGACAACTGAGGTTAATGTTCGGGTGAGATTGTGCTACGGGCAGCGTGAGGAAATCTGCTCCGAACACGAACCTCGAGTCCAAGAACTGGTACTTCTGTGGTCTCTTTGCAGCACTCTGAATCTTCATCATAATATCTCTGACAATGTTATGTTCTCATCCTTCCATACACTTGAAGTACCTTCCACTGTACAGCTATCAGTGTAAATCCTTTCAGTGTAAAGCTATTGTGTAGAGCAGCTAAAATACCTGGTCTTGGTGCATGTCACAGGTGACTAAAGAGTCTCCAAGTATCAACCTGAGCTTCCCCATCCTGCTGCCCTGTCTCTGTGTGCAGGTAATGACTGTGTGGTAATCCTAAATCTATGTACCTTCACGTTCTGGAACATGCAAAATATAGTATGCAGGGTTTTGGTTGCATGTATAGTGCCTGTCTTGCCATGGAAAAATGTGTAGTTTTTATATGGTGCTCTGTGTTGCTGTAGGTGTACTATGCAGCCCATGATGCTGTTCGTACCACTGTGTGTCCCTTTAAGACCCTCGCATTAGATGGTGAGTCAACCCTTATATGTGTCTATATTGGCTTTACCAGAGGTACTGTTAAAACTGTCATCTCTGTACTCAAATCAATTCGAAGTTTATTTATCAGTTGCAGGCACAGCCTGGTCATACTCTGTACTACAGTAGCTACTACAGTAGCATAATTGTTGCTCTGCTTTACTTCTTCAGGGAAAGATGTGTGGCGCACCAGTTACCTGACTGAATTTGAAAAGAGCTTGAAGTGGCAATCTCGATGTCCCCACAAACCTGCTGCTGCCCTCTGCTGGCGAAACCAGAAAATACCTACCGACTGCCTGGCCATTGCTAACTCCACCCTGCTTGCTGATTCAGTGAGTGAGATAACGTCTAACCCTCTTGTGAACCTGTACTAGTTAGATTGTTGAAATATGAATGGATGTGTCACGTTCGTGGACGAGCGGTGCAGGTAGGCAGGTGATCGGAGCCAGGTAGTCAGGGAAATGGGGTTTATTTAGGGAGGGACGAACAGGCACGGACATCAACGGACACTACAATGACAAGTCTGGGGAAGACTGACTCAGACGAGGACTAAATACAAAAGACAAGCTAGACTTAATAGGACACAGGCGATCACAATCAGGGCTGAACACGAGGTAACGAGGTGGGCGTGGCACACATTAGGATCGAACGGAGCAGGGTGTGACAACTATTTGGAACTTTTATTTTACAATCTGCTAGATATTCAATACCCCTCAGGTAGAACTGATGCCACAGAAGGAGGGATATGTCAGAACTAAAGCAGCTGAGGGTCACGTCATATACGATGGGGTCATTGGTGTTATTTGTTGAAGCACCAG